TATACCCAACATTTTGGTGTAGATAAATATTAAAGAGAATTATAGAACTCAGGTGTCTTTATTCTGATGCTAAGTCGGCAATCCTCATTAGTATAGAATTAATGTCAAAGAAAGAATTTTTGTATTAAAATGCTTAACAAATTCCATAAAGTATAAAAGTGTATTCTAGTATTAAAAAAAAACTTAGGATATTGTTGAGTTGAGCAACTGAAACAATTTATTTATGCATACCAAATACTAATACTGATTAAATAAATTCGGATTCACATTTGTGATTCTGTCTTGTTTTATTTTTATACAAAATTTTTCAGATTCAAAGAAGTTAAGACTGACATCTTGTAAAAATTATTTTTTACAAGAAGCTAACCTTGTTGATACCACCAATATTTTTATTTCTGAAAAAGCATTCATTTATATACAGAGTGATGATTGATATTACATCATCCTAATTTGATATTTCACTTGTTTTATCAAGAGATAGAGGTGAGAGTGTGTGTGTGTCACAACTCCTATCTTTTTCCATGAGGTCATGACAATTCACAAATATAAAAAAGGAAGCCATCAAGAGGCATGATTATCTATGTCCTGAAGGAACATGACATTTAAAAGAAAGAAATAATAAAAAGAGACTTTAAAGTCTCACAAGTAAAAATTTTCTTCTCATATGAAGAAATTAATAAAATATGCCATCATGGCATTGAAAAAATGGTTAGTAAAGGATCCTTTGTGTTCACAAGTAAATGAGTCCATATTGTCCTCAGATAATATTTCACAATCTTAGATATCAGTTAGCTTCACATAGTCATTTGAGGAGGGGGTAAATTTTTACTATTATTACACTCATCTCTCTTATTAACCTAATGTTTGGGTTTGGTTTATGACATATAAACTTCAATGGGTTATTTAATGCTGACAAGATTTTTATTGCTGGTTTGGTTTGTTTTGTTTAACGGCATATCAACCTCAATGGGTTATTTAATGCCGACAAAATTTTTATTGCTGGTAATGTGTTTTTCTTCAAAAATCTATTTCTGGGAATATTTTTCCTTGAAGAAATCTATAGCTGGTCATATTTTTTTCAAAGAATGTAAAGCTGTTTGTATTGTATTTTTTCAAAGTACTGCTGATAATAATTTTTCCTTCAAAAATTATTGCTGGTAATATTTTTTTCATTACAAAGTATTTCTGGTATTAAAACATATTTTTACACAAATTTGGATGTTAACTATTCATCCATAGCTGGGACCCTAACAAGTGCTACCACCCCAGATCAGAGTGGACCTGGGAACACCAGCAATTAAGAGGTGATTTCACACTCTTCAAAACCTCCGGATCAGAGGCCTTGCTGTTGGATGTAGTTTATCATCTTATCCAAGATGTGGATGTAGTTCATCATCATACCCAGGATATTAACCTAATGTGCATGATCAATAGGACAGGTTGATTTTTTATTTCTTTTAGAAAATCAATATTGCACTTGGTGTGAACTCTCAGATTTGATGTAATAAGTGCTGACACCAAAAATTAGATTCATAACTTTTAACCAGTTTTTGAGCATTTAGTTTTAAAAGAACATCTGAAAAAATGTACAGAAATACCTAATTTCTGCAGGTTTTTACTTACAAACTGACTTCAAAATTTTACTATTTCAAGAATAAATCCAAATAAAGTTAAATATCATTTGCATTTTATATACATTGCATGGAAAAGATATTCAGACCAAAATTGTAATTATGATTCACCACAAACAAACTATGCAACTTTTTTTACTGTGTTCAATAACTAAAAACTGTAAAAGATTTACAAAAAGGCTACTCAATGAATAAGGCTTGTCAGATCATAATTAATAAAAAAAAGAATAGATAAAAGTGTATATAACACCATAATACTGTTGGGCACAAATTGTAAAACAAAAGGTTTTAAATTTGTATTGTTTTTTGAAAAGCATACTAAAACTACTGCAATGTATATCATAATTATCTAGCTAAATTGTTCAGTATAATTTCCCTTTGAAGTAAATTTGATAGCACAATGATTTAGTAATAATGTGATTGTACCATGCATCTTGTCCATATACAATTTATAAAGCTTCAGTAAGTTATAAATCTTGTAAGACTTTCACTGATCACCAGAATTAAATTGCAACACTACAATTTCAAACTTAAACTTCACCCTTTAAACTAGTTTCCTCGTATTTGTAAAAAATATTTTGTCATTATTTATGCAAAACCCCAACTTTGAAATTGAGTGCAATTCCAGAATCCCAAAATTGACTTGCCTTAATGATCAGTTCTGCCTTTACTTCATCCTTGGCCAGTTGACTACTTAAAGAGCATAAAATTCTAGTTGGGGATGAGACGAGGTTTAATAGAATAATATTGAAGAGGATAGAGGAAAGCAAGAAGAAAGACTAATCACTGTAAGAAGACAGAATGCATTGTTGTCAGCAAAAGAGACAGCCCAAGTTGTATGTATAGTGAGTTATTTGGGGTTATATTTGGGCCTTGTTAGGATTAACCCACTGGAAGGGATTTATGAAGGAATGCGTAAGTAAAAACATGATAAATCAATTTTAAAAACAATCAAGTCTGGAGTATAACAATAATAATTTATATAAACATTAAATAGTGGTTTTGTATTTTACAAAAACAGTAATAATGTTTATGGATGGCACAAGGCTGTTATTTATAATTTAAGTAAAATTAAATAAAAAGTTTCATTCAGTAAAATATCCAGCAAATGAGAAAAAGGAGGTTGGATATATGAGAGAAGTAAAAGGGGTGAAAATGATGAGAGAAATGTGTGGAGTGATAGATGTCTTTGATGTATCCACTCACAAGTGTTCATCTCACTGTGACATCACTGTTGAAATCTCTTTGTTCTTTTAGACAGGGGTCTGTCTATACTATTAACAAAGTTGAAAGTGGCTCCAATTAAGTTGTTGATTATTTCATGCACACTCATTTCTTATTTATTTAGAATTGTATTTCATCAACTTCAACCAGAAGTTATGCGTGGAACCTATTGCACAAAACCTGAAATATGTCATTAAGCTATGAAAGAGGTAACTTCCTGTTTCTGCTTTTAGTGTCACTACATAAGCTACATATTGGGAATGTTGGAATGATGCAGATGAAGCAATTTAGGTAAATTTGCTTTTTAACGCCCAAATGCCTGCACACTAAATATCTCTTAAAATTTTCCCAAATCGTCATAATTCTGTGTAAATCTTCAAGCTGAACTTGAATTAACAATCAAATTATGAAGAAACCTACCGTTTTTGGAGTTATTGACAAGAAAAAAATCGGACTTGTTAGTCGTTCGTCCCCCATTACTACCATAATCTTCACTGCTTCAGTGCCAAGCACATCCGGTGGTGCAACCTTAAATTTTGGCTTATTTACTTCCTTTCCATTAGTTTGTTTCCGAAATCAATACACACTACTGTAAAGCAGTGTAAATGTAAAGAAAAGGCTAGAAAGGAATTTTTCTTTTTTTTGAAAATAAAACAAAATTGATAAATTAAAAAATAATCATAAAGCAGTTCATTTTTTTTTGGTTAAGTGTAGTTTTGCTTAAAATTAAAACAAACAAAAATTACAATGTAAAGAAAAGGCTAGAAAGGATTTTTTTTTAAAAATAAAACAAGAAGAAATATATGAAAATATTGACAAATTAAAAAATAACAAAGAACAAATTAAGTACTACAGTAAAGCATTTTTTATTTTTTTTAATTGAAAATAAAACAAAGTTTGTAAAAAGAGCAAGGTAAAAGTTTCAAATATATGAAAATTGAAAATAATGACAAATTAAAAAATGCACAAACTTTGTAAAGAGACAGTTAATTTCGAAAATAAAATTACAATTTAAAAACGAGGCTTTACGGTTATTTTTTAATTTGTCAATTTTGTTTTATTTGTTTGTTTTAATTTTAAGTTAAACTACACTTATCCAAAAAAAAAAAATTACATTGCTTTATGGTAGAGCATATTGATTTCAGAAACAAACTTATGTAAAGAAAGTAAATAAGCCAAAATTTAAGGTTGCGCCACCTGATGTACTCTGTACTGAATCAGTGAACATTATGGCAGTAATGGGGAGCGAACAACCAACAAAAAGTCCAATTTTTTCTTGTCAATAACTTCAAAAGTGGTAGGTTTCTTCATAATTTAATTGTTAATTCGACTTCAGCATGAACATTTACACGGAATTATGACGATTTGGGAAAATTTTAAGAGATATTTAGCGCACGGGTGTTTGGGTGTTAAAAAGCAAATTTACTGCAATTTAATTATCTGTTTGGTCCTGTAATAGACGGTGGAATGTGTGACGCAGAAATTTTCAGACATATTAGAATAGTGAAAGATGTCTTTTAGAAAGTCAACACATATTAAGAAATAGGGAAAAAAAACTTTTCTTCATCTGTGAAAAGACCTTCAACATTTACTAACATATTTGACTTGAATGTACAAAAATGTACCTCTACTGATGTATACTAACAAATACCACTGACAGAACATGTGAACTACGATGAAACTGCTACTAACAATCTGAAAGAGACTGTTGAAATTTCTACAGATTTAATGAGGAAAGAAGATTTGGAGACATTAACACTCACAGGATATTGAAGGCAGAAGAAAATTGCAAATAACTTGCTAAAAAGATGTAGCGATAGTAAGCAGTCAAAAGATAGTTGCAGAAAAAAAAAAAAAGAAAAAAAAAAGACAAGTTCTGGAGGACCATGATCGTCCACGTTCTAAAAGGACATGATATAAAAAGAAAAGGCCCTCTTGGACTTCCGATGTAATTCTCTAACACGTTTTTTTTTCTTAAGGGGAGATAACTTTAAGGGAAAAAGAACGAAGGGTAGATAACTCTAATCTAGAACCATGCTGCTGTTTAACAACATGGCGGCGGCTGCCTGTTTATGTAGCCGGCTTGTGAGATTGAGAAGTGTTTCACCTAAACTGTTGATTTATCATACTAGGACGTTATCAGCTATGTCAAAAGTTAATGGTTTTTCACGTCCGAGTTTGACTTGGCTTGAAAAAAGAGCAGAAGGGTGGTTACAGGCTTACGAGGATTTCGTCGGTTTAACCGAAGTGAAAGCAGCCCAAAATAAGGTTATTGAGGTAAGACAAAAATTGGAGGTGACCGTTTTAAAATGACTAAATAAAATAAATGTTTAAGAAGCGCTTCTGTAAGCATTAAAATGAAATAAGTTAGTTTATGTAGAAAATTAGACTCAGGTTTATAAATCAATAATTCTTTTTCACTTTAATATTTTTATTTATTTAAAACAAAACAAAACAAAAACTTAATTTTAAAAATAACAAGTGCTCTTGTCTCCAAGCGGAAGTTCTCTGCCTTCTTGACTCAATTTCACAACAGTTGAAAGACGAGATTGTTTAACTACGAAATCGGGAAACAATTGTTTAAAAAAACTGATGTTATTTTAATTAAAAAAAAATGCTTTTTTTCTATCTTGGTTTTTAAAAATTATCCGTATAAAAAATGTGTAATAATACGTTATTTAATTAGATCATAACTTTGACAATATCTGACTTGACTACCGTTTTACCGGGTACACGACAATCCTGGGATTTTTACCTTGACCAAACTGAGCCAGGTTGTGGCCCGGGTACACAGCGGTTTAAATAATAAAATAAAAAAACAGTTCACAAAATGAAATTGAAACAGAAAGACACATGCAGAGCTGATAATTAGGGTGTCAAAGAATGAATTCTAAGAATAACAACTCTAATAATTTAAAAATAAGATATAATCTCGTCTGTATGCAAGACAATTGATGGTGGATAAAGTTATAAATTAGACTAGGAGGAACAGTAGTTCAATTATGGTGGTGATTTCCTAAGCGTAACTTAGATGTGGCGCAAGGTCGAAAGTATGGGGCACCCAGTAAAGATCAATTACACTACACTACAGTGATCCAATTGTTCGGTGAGGCTTGAGGTGTACTTATCAAAATATTGTGTTGTTTTTTTTTTTTGTTTTTTTTTAGTCGAATTTACCCACCCCAAGCGGTAGTAAAGCCACTAACAAGGGGGTTACTATTCCGTGTGAAAGAATTAGAAAATAGAAACATTATTAAGGAGCGAGAACAAGAGAAGAGTAATAAGATGAGATTACTACATCACTATCATCAATTAGGCTTTTTAGTCGTGTCATCTACCTCCAAGACTGTGTACCTAGTAAACGGTTGTCGAGCCAACTTTCACTTTTCGGATATTGCATCCAAATGGGCCGCTATTTATACTTTTTCACCGGACATTGGCTACTCCCATAATCACCCTGTACAATTGGTTTGGCCTAGATGTGTGTATCGACAAATTTCTTGCATGGAGAAAAAAATAAAAAGGATGATTATTTTGAAGAGTTTATGTGGAGTTAGATTCAACAAAATTTTATCTGTGGTTTTATGATGAAATTGCCACAGATTTATATCCTGTTTTTTTTTTTTTTTTTTTTTAATTTATTCTTAAATTTGGATTTAACAAATCACGACATCTAGAGATGAAATTTAAATTTTTATTATTGTATTATTCCAAAATTTTAACATATCAGCAGATAGCTAATGTCAACAACTAAGTAAAAATAGTTATTAATTTAAAAAATTAGTAATTACTGTGTAATATTATCCATAACTATATGTACAAGAATGTTGTTTTTGATAAAATTTTAAAAATAGCTATAAATACGTATAAAATGCATATATTGTCAAAAATTCCTTTTTCCACAGATATTTGTGCTATGTTACAATGCTTATTACCTAAACAACAATAATACTGAATAATTTTTTTTTACACATTAAGGTATATTTAATCATATCTCCCTAATAGCTGTTGCAATCTGTAAATCGGAAACAGCTTTATTGATAATTTCTGTCTGAATTTCTGGAATGAGGAGTTATCATTATTATTTATACAATTTACCTGCAAACTATTCTCCTTATTTTTGTTGTTGTTATCACAACATTTCAGTTGTTGTTCCCTCCAGCCTTCATCAGGAGGACAATAGTCTAGTGGATGAAAGTGTTGGTTCATGAATTTGGAGACATAGTAATTGTGAGTTTAATTCCTGGGCCAGGCAGTGTCTACTTTGACTCAGTGAAAACAGGAAAAGCAATAACTGAGTTAGTACTAAAAATAAAAACTAAACAAGATATCTCTAGACATGGACAATGGTCTATCCCTGTAGATTACATAGAAAGTTCATTTCGGAATTTCCTGTTACCCAGATCAGCATACACCTGATAAAGGCCATAGGGTTCATTGGCTGAAAGGTTGTGATGACAAGGCCAATAGTCTACATCAATAATTCCCAACGTGGGGCGCATGCCAATATTTTGGTGAGGTATGCGTAGGATGCGCACTTTTCGGCTTACTATACCAGCGTGAGCTCAATTTTCATTTTGCATTATTATTTCATGATTAAAATGATTAAAGTATATTACAGAATAAGCTTTCCTTTAAATATTTTATATTTCTGCCTTTCAGTTTTCTATTATATATTTTAAAACTGTATATATATATATATATATATAAACAGTTTTTTTAATTTTTCTCTTTCATGGACGCCATGATTTTTGGAACCTTGTTTAGTTAATAGCCTTTTAAGCTTCCTTCACGTGAATTGCAGTAAAATTTTGAATATGTAAGAGTTAAATATTACAGGGGAGCACCAAAGTGAAATGTGGGCCAAAATCGTTTGGGAACCACTGATCTACATGGAAACAGTATAAATAACATTTATTAATGTCCATTTTCTTTATTGTAAGCAATAATTTCCAGACGTTCAATTTAAATGTCATAATACAATATATAATATTTTGAAGAGGATGTGCAAAAGTATAAAACACCCCCTCCTTCTACACTGCACTGATCATGAAGTTACAACCATTATTTCTCTTGTGTATTTCAGCTTTTAAGTTTCTCTTGTTTTAAATTAATTGTTGATTAATAAGTCTGATGATCGAATGAACCCAACTAAATGTCCCAGTACTTAAGACACTAACTAAATTAAGAATAACTTCTTTTTTTTTTTTTTTTTACATTCTAAGTCTAGGTAGTGTCTTTTGTATCAGTCATCTAATCATTATTACTACCTGCTATTTCTAGTTAACACACAAAACAGCTGGTATTATGTGGAAATATCTTTAGCTGTCTGCTTTTTTTATGTTGTTTCTCTTCAACTATATATGTATATGGCCTGAAGTATGGTGCATATATATATATATATATATATATATATATATATATGTGTGTGTGGTCTGAATATTGCTTTCCAGCATGGAACAGACTATCGCCATTCTGCTGATATCAGCGTCCACTTTTATACTTACACATGCTCTACCTCTTGTACTGAGCATGTTTACCCACAAATAAAGCATACCTTAAAACTACATGCACACACACACACACACACATATATATATATATATATATATATGAATAACAAGACAAGAAAAAATATTCTTAGCTGACGTGTTTCGTCCTCTGAGTAACTTTATCAAGACAAATGTCCCTCAAAGGACGAAACATGTCAGCTATGAATATTTTTCCTCTTGTCTTTTTATTCATGTTGTTCTTTTACATATATACTCTGAAAATAATTTACATATATGCATAACTTAATATTAAACTGATGACATAATAGACAACAAACATTTTTACTCTTAGTCGTTAGTGTTAGCCGAATGTACTTAAACGTAGGAAGTTTTATTTACCAATACCAGCCAGAAACCTGCCAAATTATTAGAAATATTTAAAAAGTAAATAAAAAAAATAATCAACAAGGAACTTTCATTGTCAGGAAGAAAACGTTAAAGTGCTATTGAGAGGTCGTAAGAACCAACAATCTTTCCATTGCCATCCTACAAAGTACCACCTTAGGCAAATGAAGAAGAGGCAGGCAGGAAAAAATATGGCCTGGCAATGTCATGGAGTGACTGGAAGATCTTTCACTGAGGCCAAGTCATTTACGGAGATTCATGCAGCTGAGACAAATGGCTGATTCAAAGATGCATCAATGAAAAATTCCTGCCTGAATACATGAGGCTGAAAGTACTTGAGAAAAATAAAAATTATTTCAATGAAAATTTTGGTATTTTTCTTAATCAATTTTCTATATTTACCAAGAAATTGATTCATGGACATAAAAGGATTAAAGCAAAAACAAACAGACATAGTATGTCTAAATCATTTAACCAGGCCCATTTGAAATATATATATATATATATATATATATATATATATATATATCTGGTTGGATAGATGTGAGTTTGTGACCCTGGGTTTAACGATTTAGTGATCGTCAGAGTGCTTTCTAATAAGTACCGCGCATATAATATATAAATAATTATACATATATATATTTATTTATATTTATATACACTTTTCACATTCCATCCTCTTGGAATTTTTATTCAAAAAATATGCATGTATGTGTATGCACCTATGTGTATATATATTTATATATTTTGCATATGTATGTGTATATTTACCACTAATATTATCTCTCTCTCTCTCTATATATATATATATATAAGGAATTTAGGAACTGGACTCACCTATTTATCTAACATTTTATTTCCTAATTTTTTTAATGTCATGTTCCATCAGAATGTATGCAATCATGGCTTGTGACAGTCTATTTCTTTATTATCTGAATTACCATGAATTTCAGTATCCTGGGTATGATGATAAACCATATCTAGCAGCAAGGCCCCTGATCGGGAGATTAGAGGTTTTGAGGAGTGTGGAACCACCTCTTAATTGTTGTTGTTCCCAGGTCCATCCTCTCCGGATGTGATAGCACCTGTGAGGGTTCCAGCTATGAGCAAATAGTGAACACCCCAAACAAAAACAAAACATTATGAAAGTGTAAAAATATATTTTTATATTAAAAATACCAGCAATACATTTTTATGGAAAAAAATATTACCAGCAATACATTTGACTCTCAACAAAAACCCTCTTTACAAAAATATGTCAATGAAACCAGATCTACATATTCATACAAACCTATGCTAAAAATCTAGTTGGCATTGAGGTTGAAAAGCCGCAAAACAAAATAAACCCAAACCCTGATCTACAAACTGATTTCTTACAAAGAATACATATTCTATTCATACGAACTTATCCTAAAAATCTTGCAGGCATTAGATAACCCATTGAGGTGTTGATATGCCATAAAACAAAATAAACTAAACCAAATAAGGTATCTGTTAATCTAGGTAACCTTCAGGGGATTTCAAACTGAACCTTTTATTTAATCTATGGGGGTAGATTGTTATCATTTCACTCTTCATGTCTAGGGATATCACACATTGTTGTTAATTTAATTATATTCAGTTATAGCTCATCCTGTTTCCTCTAAGTCTGGACTACCTGACCCAGGGATTGAACTCAGTTTCTATTCCACCAAATTCACGAATCAAAGCTTTAATCCACTAGGATTTTCAGTTTGAAATTTCCTGATGGTTACCTGGATCAACAGACAGTTGAAGAAGGTCAGAGGCCACAATGGCTGAAACGTTGTGATAACAACAACAAAGATGAGGATATTAGTCAGAATGTTAATAATGATAACCCCTCATCCAAAATTTCAGTTTTATAATATTTCTATAATTTTCTTTTTTCTTTTTACCTGCAGTCTGAGAAATGCTTCCTGGAAGTACAGAATGAACGCCGAGAAAAAAACCAACAGCTTTTAACAATACAGATGAGCCTGAAGCAGATCAGCAATGAACTGGAGAAAACCAATCGTACCGATGACAAGTACCTGAGTCTACTGACTGAAGAACACACAATTATACGCAATGAGAAAGCCCTGGAAGAGGAACTGCGCAAATTGGAGAAACACGAAAGGGAGAGCTTTTCAATGCTTTCAACCTCACTGCGAGAGAGTCACGAGAAAGAACGAGCCCAGGCTGAACGCACCAAATATTGGTCAGTGATTGGCTCTATCATTGGAGCATTCCTCGGAATATTGGGGACAACAATCAACAACAAACTGAAGATGCGAGAATTGAGGTCGATTGTCACTGATGCCACCACAGACGGAGAAAAACAACGGGTGATCACAGGCAAGTTGATGGATACATTGAAGGGGCAGGTGTCCTCGATTGAATCATTTGTGTATGAGTTGAAACAAGCAATTCTTGCTAAAAATTCAACATTGTCTTCTAGTGATGGTGAACCTTTGTTTCAATCTCGGCTTCTAGAAGCGACCCCTGCCAATAACAATTTGTCGAAACTTGAAGAACAGACTGATAAGTTGTTGCTGTCGGTTAAAAGGCAGGATGAGTTTCTCAACGCCGAGCTCGAATCAATAAAAAAATTGCTCTTGGGGCAAAATCCCAGTGATGCCAACAATCAAAATGTTATCTATGTTGGTCCAGAAATTAACGAACTTTTCGATAATGTCAACAGGCGGCTTGAACAGAAATTGAAACTAAATTCACTTGTTACTGTCACCGTTGTGTACAGTGCATTTGCTCTCACTCTTCCTGTACTTTATGCAATTTTTGGGAAAAATTGACTGCTTTCTCCTCTCTGTGTAGATTTTTACTTAGCTTACATTTTTTTCTTTTTCTTTTATGCATGGCTTAGGCTGAGTATTCTGGGGCCTTATATAACATTTTATTTTTTACTGTGCAAGTAAATTTCTACACACTCTTATCAAAAGCTTTACTTTGAAAATCCAAAACCACTCCTTATACTTAGAAAAGTTTCTATGATTATTTATCTTGTAATGAGGAAAGAATGCTTGGAGAATCTAACACCTAGAAAACATCGAAGTCAAGAGAAGCAGGGGAAAACGGCAAATAACCTACTTTACTTTTGGGTATGGCAATAAACTACATCCAACAGCAAGGCCTCTGATTGGGAGGTTTTGATGAGCGTGGAACCACCTCTTAATTGCTGTTGTTCCCAGGTCCACTCTGACCCAGGGTGGTAGTACCTGTTAGGGTCCCAGGTATGGGCAAATAGTTAACCCCCAAAGTGGGGTCAAAACACTATGAAAGTTTAAAAAATTTTATAGTGAAAATACCAGCAATACATTTTCATAAAAAAGATAAAATTAGCAGCAATACATTTTTGTGCAAGAAAATACTAATGCTCTCAAGAAAATTAAATTTCGACATTAAATGACCTATAAGGAGTTGATATGCCACTAAACAAACAAGTTTGTGTAAGTTGATGACAAAAAGGGATGGTAAAGAATGTGGAGAGCCACAATCAGTCAAGTCCTAAAGGGACATGGCAGGTTAAATAATAAAAAGCATACAGATGGTAGAATAAGGACAAAAAGGGATGGTAAAGAATCAAAAGTTATTTAGCACAACAAAAAACAAGAAATTGTGGAGAGCCATGATCACATATGACCAGATGAGACACAACACATGAAAGAATATATAAATATATATGTATTATAGAATGAAAGTTTCTCTCAAAAAACTAATCTGTAATATATTGAGTATATTTTTTTCAAAATGAATCACAGTCCTAGGAACTATTGGCTTACAGGCACATCATATTGAAACACCAATTCCTGTACAATCAACGAAGTTAAGCAATGTCAAACCTGGTCACTACTTAGATGGGTGACTGTTTGGGAATACCAGGTGTTGTAAGCTTGGATGTGCAGGTGGCATAATGGATAATAGTTCAGAATTGTTAATTGGAGATCCAAGTTCCATTTCACTTCGGCTTTGTTATATTCACTTACACACAAATACTCTTGGGAAAGGCACAAATTCATCTTTTCTCCCCACAGTTATGGATTAAATAGTAAAACTTTTCACTAAACCATTTATCTCAAAAAATATTCTTACAATGTAAAATTATTTCCTGGCTTTAAATAGACTGCAAAAGGGTTGATAAGCCATAAAAAATGGATTAATCAGTGATAGGAATCATTCCATCTGTTTACATAAGGAACGTTGTTTTGACTTACTGAAAATACTTTCAAAGACTTTTAAATATATAAATTGAATGTGATGTTCACAGAATTGTGAATATATTCTAGATATACCTGCTTCAATATATTATTGATGTGCATGTATTTTCTTTTTCATGTTTCCATTTTAGTCAGTTGTGCACTAAAATTTTACTTTTCATCAATCAAGTTCTGATGGTGAGGAGCGATAACCAGTTAACTCTTTCATTTATTTTTTTTTTTTCTTTCATTTTAAACTACCATCGTTGTTTACTTTTTTAGTCACCTTTTTAATTATGTCCGTTCTTTTTACTATAATTGAAGACATGTTTGATGTGATTCACCTTTAACATTCTGGAGGTGATTTTGTTTGTAAATCAAAAATTTCATTCTGCTACTGCAAGTGACTCAGATGAATGAATGAATGATAGTGTGTTTGAATTTTGTTGTTGTGTTGTCATATCCTGCTATGGCAACAGAAACTGACCATGACTGAAATTAAGTAGTGGCTTGAAAAACAATGCAGTGGAAAGGAAAGTAGTGTATAATGCAGAGTGTCAAAGGTTAACATTCATCATTGAATTAAGTACAGTGCCAAGGAACTGTGTCTTTTATGTGCCATATCCCTTCAGGAGGTAGGCAATCATGTCTCTCCACAACTTCTCATCCTGAGCAATATCTGTCCTCTTACTATCCTTTCCAGACCCTGTTTTGCCATCACATTTATACTATTCAAAATGGAACACCTCAAGACCAAGTAATAAGAATATTGAAAAATATTTGTTGACTAAAATAAATGCTTTTTTTTTCCTCATAAGGTTAAACACTTACTGATGTATCAACATATTCACCAAATAATTAAGTGCATTGACAGAGGAGATAATGTTGAATAATAAATATTTGTTGTGTAAAATGTTTTTTTTTTCCTCATTAGACTACAGATTGTTATAAACATGTATGTGAACTAGAAGTCCAGGATCATTGTAGATGAATAATATTTTTTTAAAACTCACCTTTCATTTCACCTAAATAACTTTTCTGGGTATGCACCAAATTCTAAACTTAAAGGGTTAACTTCTTTTCAGTATAAATAAAAAGATATTTGATTACTAGTAAGAAAACAGTATATATTTCTGCTATACCCATTGTCAGTTAAAACACCTTGACACAAAAATATATTTTTAAAAAATATCAACAACAACAATAACAACAATCCCATGACTGGATGTGGTCATAAGGTCACCGCACAGCTGAGCACCTGACTGGCTTCCTCCATGTGTCTTGCTTGCATGCCAATGCCTGAGTCTCTATAAATTATCTTTCTGTCCACTTTGAGACCTTGTCAACCCATTTTTCCTCTCTGTCTGCCTCTTTTTCTTCTTTTGCCTAAGGTTGTACCTTGTAGGATGGCAGTGGAAAGATTGTTGATTCTTATATATCCATACTTTTTTAACTTACCCTTCTTGATGGAGGCTATAAGGTCTTCCAGTGGGCTTGTTTCTTGTTGAATGATGTCTTGCCCGGTGTCATTTGCGATGCAGTCGAGGTAGAAAATACCTACAGTAACAATAATAGTTGCACCAAAAATTTGGTTACATGGTAGTCAGTTTTTAATTAACCAACAAGAAGTCTTGTTAATTTTTTTTTCTTATTTGAATGTTTACATTATCCCCAGAATATTCAAATGTTTATGTGAATTAACAATGAAATATAGAATCATGTTTTGTTGCTTGATCATCACATATTGTCTACAAGCAATTCATTTTTCTAGTTGTTTTCTTCTAGTATGTACTGTGCTCACCCCAGAATAGACTTTGTACTACAGTGGAGCCAGGCATAGGGTTGAGCTGAAGTGACCTAGTTGCCTAGTCCTGGTGATTGGCCCAGCTGTATTTGGGATGCATGTATGGGGAAAGGACTTCATTACAGGCACATATATAAACACACATTCAGAGAGGAGAGGGGCCGTTTCTCAAGCATCATGCAAGAGAATGTAAGGTCCATGTTCAGATGAAGGCCTAGAGCTACACAGACTAGCTGTTAGTTAAAATATAATGCTACTTATGAGAGATTAAATCCCCTGTTCATATTTGTAACGTATAATGATACTTAATTATGTACTCATGTATTTGTTCAATTACAATCCCACTTTATGTCAGCGTATAAAGTGGTTATGTGGGTAAGACAACCTCCAAGAATTTCCATTTAAAATGAAGGATTTGTGTTATACTCATTGTATAAGATGATTGTAAATCTGACATTTACTGCTGAGAGCTTACTGCCCCTATAGTGCTTTGGCAATCATTCTGCTGATCGATGGAATAGTGCTGTTACAGACTATTAGGAAACACTGTTTTGATTTAAAATTTAACCAATTCATTTCAAATACCTACCAAGGCCATGCTTGATGTAGATTGACATTAATGAATGTACACTTTTTATATAATGTAAATACACTGACGCAATGGGAGAGCAATAGGATGTAAGTGTATTGACATTCAAATTGTAGTAGAATGTAAGTGTACAGATACTGTAGCATGATCATATCACAGTGTATAATGACAGTGTGATATGGTTGAATTTAGAGATGAAATTGTACAGAACACTACAGTATAGTGTGTAAATAAGTGTACAGAAAGTGTATGTGTGTTCAACAACTTTGGTAAGCTTACAGATTCTGTGATATGATTATAAGTGTACAGGGAGTGAAACAGTGTTTTATAAGCACTGTATCTTGACACTGTGAAGTAAGTCTACTAAAAGGCTGTGGTATGTATATTTGACAGCAATGTGTTAAATATCTCATAATAAATTGGCTTTTTTTTTTTTTTAAACTGGCACCAAACTGAAATACTTTTTCTTGATTTCCAACCAAAAATCTTTGCAAAAATTTCACCGTTTTAAATGTTGTAACTTGTCAATTATTATTGTTTGCTTCAAAAAATTTTACCAGTCACCTGTGCCAACTACTGTTGAGGATGTTGCTGTTCTTTGGTTAATTTCTTGGAGACATTTTCAGCATGCTCCTTGACAATGACTTCAAGATTTTTCAGCAGGTTCAAGATGAGATGAATTTCCTGGTCACTTAGTAAATTCACCTTTTCAGCAAAAAAAAAAAGACCACATGAACAATTGTTAATTTCCTGAGATTCCATCAGTGAATTGGATTGAAATTTCCAGATATAAATGTCAGTTTAATCGTGAGACAGCCCTGTAATGTTTTTCTGATTTGGTACAATAATATTGATAAGGGAGGTAACTCATACAATATCTTCAAGATTTGAGTTAAACTCTCTTTTTGTACCTAGTTGTATGGATATCTATAGATAGGGCAGGTTGATTTTTCGCTTTTATTTGAGAAAATCAACATTGCACTAAGTGTGAAAGCTGGGGTTTGATTAGATAAGTACTGACACCAAAAATTAGGTTCATAATTTTTACCAATTTTTGAGCATTTAGTTTTAAAAGATTATCTGAAAAAATGTATAGAAATACATAATTTCTACAGGTTTTCGCTTACAAACTGACTTCAAAATTTTACTATTTCACGAATAAATCCAAATAAAGTTGTTGTATTTTCATTGAGATACATTGAATGG